AAAAACTAATTTTTGCGCAGAAAGCTCAGAAAGCTGGGAAATCACAATATCGGGTAGGTAATGCAGCAACAGAAGCTATCTCAAAGTGCGCGCGAAGGCGTGCGAAGCTAGACTGGTGACAGAATAAGTTTGTAATAATGGCAAAGGACAAAGACCCTGTATTTTAGGCGGCAGGTGATCATATACCGTGTTTCACGACTGGGAACTTCGTCTAATCCCAAAATCCCCAATGCTAGAACCCTGAATTCTAACCACGGCCGACGTCGCATCGCGGGCTGCGGCGACCTAGCTATCGCCACGATAGAATAGTCCCGCACCCATGTGTCCTGCACTGTCGTCAACGTGTTAAGCCATATATCAAATTAGTAAAAATACTTTTATCGTTGCATATAACAAGGGTGAATAACTTAAAAACACCGACCAGCAGATAAATGCCGGACCATGGCGGAATAACAGTTAAACATGCGGTGCTGTTAAAGGCAACATCCTAACAATCAACAAGAAAATGTCAACAACATATCACACCGCTTTTGGCCGAAAATCAAAAAGAATAGAAAATAAAGAGAAATTAGCTAATTCAACCTATGAAGCACTACCCATAAGTGAGGTTCGCCAAAAGTCAGCATCGTACCGCAATCGAATCTCTACTTCGTTAGGATCCTTTAGGAATCTGTGCAGATCGGTGAGCTTGGGTAATATGAGATACCCCGGGTAATAAAGACATTAGAGCGTGAATCCTCTCATGGTCTAGAATTTGACCCAGTTAATAGGGTAAGCGACCACTGCGATGGGCCGTAACCCAAAAAAACGTACTAAAGTCATAGATTCCAGTAATGCACATAGAACACAATGAAAGTGATAGAATGCCCTCCTGGATGCAGTTTTTTTGAGTATTTCTTGCAAACAGTTTGTAAAAGATCCACGCTCGGGCTCGCACGCCTCAGCTTTATTCAGTAAGGAGTAAGCACATGGCGCTATTCAAAATGCATTAATCGTGAAACCCTTAAACCCAACCGCGGTATTCTTAACTCCAGGCGAAGACAATCTTCAGAAAAAAAAACACCTGTAGGAGCACTTGAACTTAGACAACTACCATAAACGCACTCAAATCTACTGGATAGATGGGGTGTAACAAGAAGTCACGGCGCGAAGTCGCATCCGCTTGCAGTTCAAATTTACAAACAAAGAACACCGTTAAGCTAGTGGCTCTATCGCGAGGCAGATGTTTTTGAAGAGTGAGAATACAAAGTGTGTGTCGGAATGGTTACGGTATGGTAGTGGTACAATTAACCCCGCATCAGTATCATCTTCTCGAAGTGAAACATCTATAGCGCAATCGCGAGCGCGAACGCCATCCCTGGCCTCAGTGAGACGGTCTGCGCCCATTTGGCGCGCAAATTCAAACTGCGAGCGGGTGCGACGTCGCGCGGTGACCTCCCGCCACACGCGAGGATCTCTCGGCAGAAAAAGATCGATTGTAACAGACTCTTCGCGAATCTCACTTTTTAGCAACAGGCTAATCCCTAGAGAGCTATTTTGTGGACACTTAGCTACGATCACTATACCGATGCAGGTGGCACATAGTTGAGAGACGCAACGGTGGCTTCCTCGATGCCTGGGAATGCGCTCTTCACCTCGGCAATCTTCGACGGATGCACTGTTATGGCTCGAGCATACTTCTGAAGAAAAATTGATTGAAAAACGGTAAGTGGTAATACGGTAAAAACAAACGATCTCAACAAACCTCAAACAAAGTCGCGACTCGTGGTCCGCCTAGGCGAAGCATGTCCTCCGTAGTGGTGTGCCAAATCCGCTCACATAGCAATCTT